CCCTTTCTCAACTGCCTCTGGTTCCAGGGTCTTCTGCAAGCCCATGGCCTTTGCTCATGTTGCCACCTCTGCGGAGAAGGCTCTTCATTTGCAGGCTTTAACCATTATTCCCTCACAGAGGCCTTCCCTCCTACTGTAAATCAGGTACCTTTCTCATAGGACCCTTTCTCATAAGACTCTTAATTTTCATCACACTGCTCATCTCACTTTCTATAACCATTTGTCTCTGTGTGACCACTTACTTCATACCAGCTCCCCACACTGAGATGATGGCTTCTCAGGTTTCATTCACCCTAATTCCCCAGAGCCTAGTACACATCCTGACAAGTATTTGTTTTCAAAATATTCAAAAGACAACCCTCTGGCTTAGAAAATTTAAGCTCGTGACACAAAGACCTTTTCACATCTGAGCTTTGCTTGCTCTCCTGCCCCATGGCCCGCAAGTTGGCCACCCCCACCTCTGACCTCCTTAGGGACCCTGGACTCTAGCCAGACCAGGTTACTTGCCATTTTTTGAACATAATCTGCCCTTTCTCATCTCCATACTTTCCTGAATGCTTTTCTTCTAGTAGAGAATAGCAAATTCCTATTCATTCTCCAAGGCTCATTCTGGCTCCTTCCTGGACTCTCCCAGGCAGCATTCCTGTCCCTCCATTCCCAGATGAGTCTATCCCTTTCTTGTTCTCCCACCTGTCTTCTCCATTAACTCCTAGACACCCTCTATTCCTCTTCATCTCAAGTGCCTATTATAGGTTCTAGCACACAGTAGGACCTCAAAGGAAAGATCTGTCAGCTGAATGGACTTCACTCAATGAATGAGGAATATTTCAATGTTTCAGCAGACCCAAGCAGCATAAGTCTCCTTGTGAGGTAGTAAACTCCCCACCACAAGGAATTATTTAAGCAGAGGCTTCATACCCTATCAAACAGTATTTTTCAAATTCTTTGTGACCCATTACAAACATACATAGTACATTAAAAACAAAAGTTTCACAAAATGGTATTTACTCTTTCTTCCATGTGGTATTCACTGATATTTTTTTCTATTTCATTTTTCATAAATGCTGGTTTTAACCACTAAAAACGGGGTTTCAGGAGCCACAAGTGAGTTGAGACCCACAGTCTGAAAGACTCCCATGCTGGCCAGCATGGTAGAGTCACTGATCTCCACAGTACCACCATTTCCTCTTTGACACCAGTGGGCACTTTTAGGTAACTTACCTCATCAAAAGGGCGATTCTCCTGGAGCTAAGGGACTAGAAGGGGAAGTCTCTGTCGACTGGCTAATGGGTAGGAGGGCTCCCTGGTACAGCTGCCCATAGACGATGGCCTCCCATTCATTAAACCCAACAAATATTTTTAAGTACCTACCATGTGCTATGCACCGTCCTAGTCTCTGGAGATACAGCTATAAACAAAATATTAAAAACTCCTGGGGTGCCTGAGTGGCTCAGTCAGTTAAGCGTCCTACTCTTGACTTCGGCTCAGGTCATGACCTCACATGAGCCCCATGTTGGGCTCTGTGCTAACAGTGCAGAGTCTGCTTGGGATTCTGTCTCCCTCTCTCTCTGCTCTCACTTGCTCACATGTTCTCTCTCTCTCAAAATATATAAACTTTTAAAAAAATGTTTGTTTTTTAGGGGCACCTGGGTGGCTCAGTCGGTTGAGTGCCCAGTCCAACATTGGCTCAGGTCACGATCTCATCCTCCGTGAGTTCGAGCCCCGTGTCGAGCTCTGTGACGACAGTTCAGAGCCAGGAGCCTACTTCAGATTCTGTGTCTCCCTTGCTCTCTGCCCCTCCCCCACTCACACTCTGTCTCTGTCTCTAAAAAATGAATAAATGTTAAAAAAAATTGGGGCGACTCGGTAACTCAGTCAGTTAAGCGTCCAACTTCGGCTCAGGTCATGATCTCGCGGTTCGTGGGTTCAAGCCCCACATCGGGCTCTGTGCTGACAGCTAGCTCAGAGCCTGGATCCTGCTTCAGATTCTGTATCTCCCTCTCTCTCTGACCCTCCCTTGCTAACACTGTTTCTCTCTGTCTCTCAGAAATAAATTTAAAAAAATGTTAATGTTAAAAAAATTAAATGTTTGGGCTTTTTTAATTTTTGAGAGAGAGCATCAGCAAGGAAGGGGCAGAGAGAGTGGGGAAGGAGAGTGGACAGAGGATCAGAAGCAGGCTCTGAGCTGACAGCACTGTGAGATCATGACCCAAGCTGAAGTTGGATGCTCCAACTGACTGAGCTACCCAGGCAGCTCAATAAATAAACTTAAAATAAAAGGGAATGAAAACTCCTAACATGATGGCAAGACTGTAGAGAAACTAGAACCCTTGTGCATTGTTGATAGGTAAGTAAAATGGTACATCTTCATGGACAATGGTATGACTGTTCTTTAAAAGGTTAAACATAGAATTATCATATGATCCAGCAATTCCACTTCTGGGTAAATACACAAAAGAATTAAAAGCAGACACCAAAACACTTATTTGTACACCAATGTTCATAGCAGCACTATTAACCATAGCCAAAAAGTGGAAGCAACTCAAATGTCCTTCAACAGGTGAATGGATAAACAAATGTGGTATATGCATACAATGGAATATTATTCAACCTTAAAAAGGAAGGAAAATTTGACACATGCTACCACATGGATAAATCTTGAAGACATTATACTAAGTGTTTGATTCCACTTATGAGGTAACCTAAAATAGGCAAATTCATAGAGACAGAGTAGAATGGTGAGTGCTAGGATCGGGAGAGACAGAGGATGGGGCAGTATTGTTTAAAGGGGTACAGAGTTTCAGTTTGGGATGATGAAAAAGGTCTGGAGATGAATGGTGGTGATGGTTGTAAAACAATATGAATATACTTAATGCCCCTGAACTATACAGTCAAAAATTGTTAAAATGGTAAATTTTATGTTATGTATATCTTTTTTTTTTTTTTTTTAACTTGGTACCTGGACCTTCCATTCTAGAGGCACAGACTGGGAAAAGAGCTCACTAATAGAGTAGCATTATTTCTTCCCACCTCAGAGCAGGAGCCATAAACTATATCTGGGTCCTGGAGAGTCTGCATGGGATAGGAGGAGGGGGTCAGGAAACAGGAGGCATGCACAGGTTTCCCCATGATCTCTTCAAACAGAATAGTTCTCTTTGTTATCTGTTTTCAATTTTAAGCATATTAAGATGAAATTTTGTTTGGAACAAAGGGCCACAACACAGGATCATCAATTCTAACAAATGTACCAATTTGGTGGGGGTGTTGATGACAGGGACAGCTATGTATGTTTGAGGGCCAGACAGTATATGGGAAATCTTTGTACCATCCTCATAACTTGCTGTAAACCTAAAACTGTTCCCCAAAAAAAATAGTTTGTAGAGGTGGGAAAGGCCATTGCTGCCTAGAAACATGTTTCTAAACTACCACCTTCCCTCTCTAAAATGACCACTGGTTGAGAGATGCTTTCATGAAGGACCACTCTACAGGAGGGGTCCCCTAAGCATTTCACAGGCAGGTGTTGGCTCTGTAAGGTGAGGGTGGGGGGTTGTCCCATGAGTGGACAGTGATCTGAGAAGACTGACCTGGAAGGATAGGCTTTGCAGAGCCATTCTAGCCCTTCCCCTGGGTTGAGGTGGTCAGTTATTGGATCTCCACCCAAAGGCAAGTTTCTCAGCTGAGTCACTTCTGGTCTTGCCTAGGGTGGGGTACAGAAACAGCACCCAATTTTAGCCTTGAAAACTTTGGCTCCAAGTCCTGGCTCTGCCCTTTATAAGACACTTAATGTCCCAGCCTGTTTACTTAGCTGTAAAATGGGGATGACCTGATACCAACCATCTCCCAGGATATGATGTGTCATGACACCACTGGAGAACGCCCAGCACAATACCAGGCACAGAGGAGGCACACCAGAGAGCTTTAGTGTCTGGGCCCTGAAGCTCAGGAATGGTGTTGTAGGCCCCATCTGTGGGGCGGGGCCCTGCACCCTTGGACCTGCCGGGCCAGCCTGGCCACTCCTAGCACTTGCTCCAGGTGCATCTCGTGCACAGCCACCCCCAGGGAGAGCACTGGACTGACAGACAGCAGCCCTCAGATGCCTTTAGAACCAAGTCACGGTTTCAGGAGCTGGTTTCCAAGGAAGGAAGCCTCTGCCTGCCACCCCCACCCACCCCTTCCCTGAGGGGCCACACCCTGCACTGTCGTGAACTCATCTCTACATATGACAGTTTCCACATTGGGCTGTGATTTCTTGAAGACAGGTGGACTTTGCCCCAGGCAGGGGTTAAGGATGTTCCACTAACATCTCCCCTACTATTGGGTACTTCTTTTCACTCCGTATGATCTCTGTTACTCCCCCTCCATCATGCCCCCCACCATTTGAGGACTATTCTCAAGGACAACAGAGTTGGAAACAAATGGAAATAGGGCACATTTTCTTTCCCTCTTACATTAACACTCTGTCTCTCCCTGACAGAGGGCCTGTTTTTGCCTTGTTCATCCTCTTGCTCACAACAGACTTCAATAAGGAAGCAGACAAGCAAACTTTGTGCCGGACAGACTTCCTTTACAATCACTGATAATTCTGGACTTCGGTCCTTCTGGACATTCTGACATGGGTGTATCACACACAACATATCACGTACATGTGAAAAATCAGTAGGAAAACCTAAGCTTATTGGTCTTTTGTTGCTACTGGCCACCCTTCTCTCTGTTAAAATCATTTTAATTTCATCATCAGAATCTAATTTCCACTAGTTAGAATTGGGTGATTTTTCTCTACCCCTCATATTATATTCCTCCTGGAAAAAAAAATTTTATTATGCAGTTTCTTAGAACCACCATTTGACCAAGCCCTACTCCACTACTGGCCTTGGGGAAACATCAATGAATGGCTCTGCAAACGTCTGAAATCTTTTCGAAGACTTTTGATATTGTTATTTTAGTTTATTATTATTATTCTCCCCCATTAGGAGAAATGTTTCATCATTTTGTAATCAAACAGCATTTGCAAATATCAACAAGAGAATGTGTAATGTATTATGCATGCACACTATATAATCATCTATTGTTAAGACAGAAACCTCCTGGTGGTGTAACACATCTCCAAGCCCACTGGCTTCTACTTAACGTTCGCTTTCTCAGATGGTGTGGCATAAATAATCTTTGTCTCAGTAATACTTGGCTTTACTGTGAGGTCGCCTCACTGATAAGAGCACCCCTGCAGTCATTTGGGATGACTCACAGAAACAGAAATGGGGACCAGGTGGCCAGGGAGCCTTGAGTGGACAGGCTACAGAAGAAACAGATACCTGGCCCTGCCTCAGCAAGTAGTCCATCTTCAGGCAAAGCAGTGAAGAGAGCGGACTCGGTCTTCCAAGCCCATCCCCTGCTACTCCCTAAAAACTCATTCCAGACCAAATCCCAGTGGTTTTGTCCTGCCCTCTGGTCATTTAGGCCACTCCACCCAGGCCTGCCATCTCCAGGGAGTGTCCATCTCAGACTGTCCTCTCTACACCTATCTTCAGGGCATTAGGGAGCCACTATCAGCAAGCTTTCAGATGGGAAAGTTATTTGTGCACAAATTCACTCTGATGAACAAAGGAATCCAACAGTAACACAAGGATTTTAGGCTGTGAGTCAGACTTAGGGCTGAGTGGGGAGGGTCTGCTCTGTGAACCTGAGATCAAATCCATGAGGAGTATGGCTAGCCCTAATCAGGATCAGGTTGACAGCACTGAATTTATCCAGAAACACTGAGGTTCCAATAAAATAGTTTTCCTAAAAAGTGAAGCTTCAATTGCCAAAACAGTATTTTAACCACTTTGAAGGGAAATGTTGCTAAAATATAGCTCAAAGTTCCCCAATGCCTTAAAAATTATCCTTTTCCCACTCAAGTGGTCGTCATTACAAGTAGTCTCTGTGGTACTAGACAATAATGTGACTTTACTTCCTTACTGTTCCTCTGTCCTTCCCCATGGCTTTCACCTTCCTGCCATCTACATGTCTGTCTCTTAAAACTACCTACCATCACCACCCTTCCAGGCTGTTTCTTTGCTACTACAGGTGCTAGGAAATCAGGTAGGCTCTCTTGTCAGAATAGTGTGCTAAGTAAGTGTCAACAGACATGAGGCTCTCAGAAGGTTAAAATACACCTGGTTTAGATGCAGGGATTTTGATGCAGTTATTTCTGCAGGTCCTATTTTCAGTAACTTTCAGTTCAGGGCGCCAAGTCCAAAGAGAGATGAGGCTTCAAGACTCAATTCCACCTGAAATGTTCCTTCCACATATTTGTCTTCCATCCTCTGGCTAGTAAGATGTTTCTATGGTTGTGGCACTGCATGCAGAGCTCCATGTTTTGCTCTTACTCTAGTTGTTATTCCCTGGCCCTACCAGGTGAGCAGCAACGATGAGCCCCACTACGCCTGGAAGCTTTGCCTCCATGAAGAGCTTCACCAAGAGAAATGAAATGTGCAGCCTTGTGATACCTAACACTGAGCTGGCATCTTTCTTTCAGGTTTCTGGAGCACTGTACAGACTTCAACCTCCTGCCACAGCACTGAGACAGCATCTCTGACCATGGCAACTTTATGGTAATGACCAACTGGGACCCTGAAACACTCCACAGAGAGAATGGAGCACCACCAGCTAGACCAGAATGGCACTGGCAGTCATGTGCTGGCTCTTTAAGGAACCCAGTGGGTGATGTCTAGACAGGGTCAATCGGCCTTTGTTTGGAGTTGTTCTGAGCAATGATCTCACTCTGCATTTTTCACCCTGTGGGTTGTGACCCATTACTGGGTTATGAAATCAGTTTAGTGGGTCACAACCAACAATTTTCTTTAAAAAATAAATAGAAGAGAAAATATCCAAGTGCATCACACACAGTGAGAGTGTTATCTTTATAAAACTTATGCTTCAGTTTTATAGCTCTATATGTAGGTGTGTGTGGTGGCTGGGACATGAAATATATTTCTCATAGGGAGTGGTGGTCAAGGAAGTTGGAAATGCAGTGATCAAACATACATCCATTGTACACCTATGTCTTCCTGACACCCACCCCTGCTACTTGCACCCCTGAAAAAAGCCAAAAGAATCTGTTCAGGGTCTTAAAAATGGCCTTACCTGGAAGGCATAGGAGTCAGGAAAGCCTTCTTAGAGGAAGTGAGGTTTGCTGTGGCCTGAGCAGGAATACGGAGGGGGCAGCATGGAAGAAGGAAAGGGATGGGCAGTGTACTATGGTAAGAAGGAGTGAGATGAACAAGGACTGGGAAGGCCTACAGGGCATAGCTATAGATACCTGCCTTCTGAGGGAGGCAAACTGAGGGGCTGAGGCTAGAGGGGTGGAAGAAACAAAGCTGATTTGATTCCAAATAGCCATTTACAAAGTTACCTTTGGGGGACATGTGATAGTGGGGGAGTCAAGTGGGGTTTCAGGCCTAGTGCCCCTCTCTCTCATTGATCCAGTAATAGTGCCTACTTTTCTTTTATCTTTATAAATTTAACTTTTAATCAATTAAAATGAAAAACCCAGTTCCTCAGTTACAATAGCCACATTTCAAACACTCAATAGGCTCAATTTTATAACACAGAACATTTCCATCAATGCAGAAAGGTCTACTGGACAGGGATGTTCTAGAATGAGCAAATGATTAATTTATTCCAGGACTGCCTTCCCTCAGGAATCCAACAACTTCCATTATTTCTACTATAGCCATAGTTCTAAATGCAAATGTCTCTAGGAGAGATACTGGGATGGCTTAAAAGAGTAACTGGTTGATATTAACAGCCTAGGAAAGCCAGAGTCTAAGAAGCCATCCACCATAGACTGAGTATACGTGACAGCACAAGGGATGAAGGGAAGTCAGAAGATAAGACACTGCCGTAGCCAAATGTGCTGTCTGAGGATACTGAAGAGTAAGGATAAACTCCTATATCAGGGGATGTAGAAAACTTTGAGAATTGTGAGGAAGTGACCCACAGTTATTATTCATCTTCAAGTGAGAGTTTATGCCCCAACAGTCCTCACCAAGGGGGTTATTGCATGAGAAACAAGCACTTCTCTACTTCTAGGTAAGGAGTAAGAAGAAGTGCATGCAGGCCTTCCCAGCGGTGGATGCCTATGAACTTGGCCCTCTTCTGCCTTCTGTATTTGCTCTATGACCAGGTCCATGGCTCTGTCTCCTTCACACCAATGACTCTCTGAAAAACAACATAGACCCAGGCTTAGAGACCCAAATACTAACTTATTTCTACCAGGAGCCTCCATCAGCAATCACAAGGTGAATTTTAACAATCTCTGGCCCACTGCCTTCCCTACCCTGTTTCCTGTATCTGGCTTCTGGCTCATCCTCCACCTGCTCACTCCATCGTTCATTCAGGTCAGCACCCTATGAGTCATCCCAGACTCCTCCCCCTCTTACTTTGCTCCCCACCCAAGGTCACCACATCTTGGCCACTTCTCCACTCTGCTGTGAATCTGCCTAGCTCTGAACCTCTCCAGCTCTCACTGTCACAGGGACCATCCTTGGTCTTCCTGCTTCCAGTCACAGCCCCTTCTAGCCCAGAGGTTCTTAACCACAGATAAGCAATAGAGTAACTTGGAGGCGGTTAAAATATAGATTCTGACTCAGTCAATCTGGCCAGGTTGAGCACGTGTGTTTTGCGAAAGTGCTCCAGGTGATTCTGATGTGTACCCTTCATTAAGAACCACTGCCTCCTCCTCCTCATTATTAATAACAAAAACAACAATTAACATTTTTTGTGTACTTACATGTACTGCCTCATGTCATCTTCATGACAACCTTGTGAGGTAGGAGCTATCATCCACTCCCATTTTACGGTTGTTGAAACTGAGGCACAAAAGTGTCATAGTGAGAGGCAGGACCAGAGCATGACCCACCACTCCTAACCATTCTGCTCTCTACACCACTGTATAGACATGACTTGATGTGTATCTCCTTCCTTAACGCTCTTTAAAGAAAGTTCCAGAAAAAGATGGGAGCTTGAGGACACACTCTTGATTCTCTTCTCCATCCAACTTCCCACCACAGCTTCTTAATGCTACAAGAAATATCGGGGGGTGGGGGAGGGGGGAGGAGGGGAAAATGTGTGATGGGCATTGAGGAGGGCGCTTGTTGGGATGAGCACTGTGTGTTGTATATTAAGTGATGAAACAGGGGAATCTACCCCAAAAACCAAGAGCACACTTTTCATACTGTATGTTAGCCAATTTGACAATAAATTATATTAAAAAAAAAGGAAGAAATATCTTGATCAGGGTGGTGGTTAATTGAGTGTACACATTATAAAAATTCACTGAGATGTGTGAATTTACTGTACATTCATTACTCAATAAAAAAATCCTGAGGGGCGCCTGCAGTTAAGCATCCGACTCTTGATTTCCACTCAGGTCATGATCTCACAGTTTGTAAGATCAAGCCCTGAGTTCACCTCCAGGCTGATAGCACAAAGCTTACTTGGGATTCTCTCTCTCCCTCTCTTTCTCTCGAAATATATTTTTAAAAATCTTGGAAAAGTCACTTAAGAAAGGGCTACATAAATAAAGAAGTAAAATAAAGGGGTGCCTGGGTGGCTCAGTTGGTTAAGTGTCTGACACTTGATTTCAGCTTAGGTCATGATCTCACGATTGGTAAGACTGAGCCCTGCATTGGGCTCCATGCTCAGCATAGAGCATGCTTGAGATTCTCTCTTTCCCTCTCTCAAAATAAATAAATAAAATTTTTTTTTAAAAAAGAAATAAAATAAAAAGAAAGACCCAAGAAAATGTGAAATAGGTAAAAACAGGCATGCACAGAAGAAACTAGGAAAAAGTCATCACAATGCTGGTGATTATGAAGAATTCTTTCTGGAATAACACATTTAAGAACAGATTAAGAAAAGATCCCCAGAGCTAACCCACAAGAAATCCTTAGAGGAGATCAGGCTTGGAGAGGGCACTACCTAAAGGCAGAGTCCCCTGCAAGATGGACAGGAAATCCCCAGTATAGGATGGCTTGGCTACAGTGGAGAGCATATGGCTAGCCACGGGAGCTCTGAAGGTCCACAGGACTGTCTTTGGGTCACAGACTGTGGAATGCCCCCAAGTGGAAGTCAATGGCAGTGAGGGGTTTCTTCCTTAAAGGGCCATGTGATTTCTGCATCAAGAAGAAAGTCCAGCCCCATCAAATCCAGCTCCTGGTATGGTTGGTGCTTATGACTACAAAGGACTCCAATGGGATCACTCATGTTTCCAGCTCCACTGTGCAGTCCAAGGGAGGGGGACTTGGCACACTGATTTTGAAGTCTATCCTAAAAGAACAAAGAAAAGTCTGAGAAAAGCAGTGTGATGAGGTATACCTTACACTAGCACCTAAGATATATTTAAAGAAAATGTGATCAAAACAGACAGTAAGAACAGACAATTCACTGGAACAGAGAATCCCAGGTATAAATGGAAATGTACTGTAAGATGCAATCAGTATTTCACACTAGGAGGCTAAGGATACGTATTTTAATTATTACTGACCAGGAAAAAGAAATTAAATCCTTAACTCTCACAATTCACCAAATTATGACAAATTCCATCTAGACAAAGAATGAAATGTAAATTAAAAAAAAAAGAAACCATTTAAGTATTGAGAATTTATATGAATATGTAATTCTGTAGCAGATACAGCCTTTCTAAGCCTGACACAAAAGAGAAACAGAGGCCAGGCCTAGAGATCCAAATACCAAGTTCCCTCTACCAGGAACCTCCATCAACAATTACACAATCTCTGCCCAGGGCGCCTGGGTGGCTCAGTCGGTTGAGTGTCTGGACTTTGGCTCAAGTCATGATCTCACGGTTCATGGGTTCGAGCCCCACATAGGGCTCTGTGCTGACAGCCAGCTCAGAGCCTAGAGCCTGTTTCAGATTCTGTATCTCCCTCTCTCTCTGACCCTCCCCTGCTCACGCTGTCTCTCTCTCTCTCTCTCTCAGAAATAAGTAAAACATTTAAAAAAAAAATCTCTGCCCCTGTCCCCCATCCCTGTCTTTTCATGTATTCCTGATTCTGGCTCATCCTCCCCCTGCTCACTCTGCCAACCAGGTCAGTACCCTGTGAATCACCCTACACTCCTCCTGCTCCTTCCACATTCTCCCCCTTCCAAGGTTACCACTTCTTGGCCACCTCTACATTCTATCTTGAATCTGTCCAGCTTGATCCTCTCCAGACTGGCCCCCACTGAGGGCCTCATCCTGCCACCCCTGTTACCAGCTCAAGGATTGCCCGTGGGCCTCTTGGCTTCCAGTCACAGCCCCTACCTCCAGCCCAGTGGTTCGGAAAGCCTATAAAGACTACCTTGATTGCATGGACATTTTAGATTTATGAATGCTTAAATAGTGAACAAAACTAAAGGGGAAATGACAATCTAGGATAAAGTATTTGTTATATAAAAAAAGACAAAGAGTTAATAGCCTGAATAGGTATCAAGTTCTCTTATAAATCAAAAAGACAAAAAAAATAATAACCTACACTAAAAACTAATAAAATATTGCACAAATGAAATGAAAAAAAAAAGAATATACCAATAGAAAACTGCACATAATCAATTCTTCAAAAGAGAATTACCAATAACTAACTGGCCTGTAAAAAGAGTCCAAGTAATAAAATAACAATTTTAAAAAAGAAAGCAAAATAAAGAAGCAACAATGGGAAATACTGTTTTTGCTGATCAAATTTGCAATTTTTTAAAAAATAATAATACCTTAATACTGGAAAGGATAGTCAAAAAGATGCTCTCATAGGACTGGGGTAAGAGCCTAAGTTGATACATCTGGAAGGCAACTGGGAAAAATGTATCAAAATCTTTGAAAATGTCCATATTCTTCAATCTAGCAATTCTACCTCAAGACTATATCCTAAAGATGAAAATATGGATGTACACAAAGTCAGTATTATATATAAGCCACAGCTATTAGGAACTTAAGGAGCAATAATAAGGGTATAGTTAAATCATGGTAGGTACACACTGAAATACTACAGATCTATAAGAAGTTTATTTATTGCCAAGGAAAACCATTTACAACGTATTGCTAAGTATAAAAAGCAAGTCACAGAACAGTATGTACAATGTGAACTCATACTGTAATGAAATGTTAAGGGTATATATACATCCATATATATGCACACAAAAAAAGATCTTCAGGCATGTAACCAAAACAGTAATGATAATATAGACCTGTGTCTAGGATTATTACTATGATTCCTTATTTCCTTCTTTGTTCTTTGTGTTTCCCATTTTTAAAAGAAACCTGGTGGTAGGGGTGCCTGGGTGGCTCAGTCGGTTAGGCGTCCGACTTCAGCTCAGGTCATGATCTCACGGTTGGTGGGTTCAAGCCCCATGTCAGGCTCTGTGCTGACAGCTAGCTCAGAGCCTGGAGCCTGCTTCAGATTCTGTGTCTCCCTCTCTCTCTGACCCTTCCCGGCTCATGCTGTCTCTCTCTCTCTCTCAGAAATAAATTAAAAAAAAAAAAAACAAAAAACTCAGTGGTATGATATAGACCTCCTTCTCTACCATCCCCCTGGACAGGGAATTCCTGTCCAGGATTCCCATTTGACTCTGAGCATCTATATCCCTTACATGTGACATATATGGTATTTCTTATGCTCCTGTTTAACTTTTCAAACTTAATCTTGTCTCTTCAATTCTCTAGACCATGGGTAAGGTCTGTGTCTTACAGAGCCTAGTACATAGAAAGTACTTGGCAAATGGCCCAAGAAAGAACATGTTACCTCTGTGCCCATGGCCCTGTGAACTGCCTGGGCATGGACTGATTGGCTCCATAGGTGTGACATTCAAGCTCAGCTCCAGGCCAGGTTTGAGGCTGCATGTTGTGGGACACCTGTCAATCTGGTCCTGTTGAAGATGTTTACTGTTGCTGCTAATTACTGTTGAGTGATGGGGCTGTTTGTTTAAAGCATAGGTTACTGCCCCCACACCCAAAGGCAAAGACAATCCTATGGGCATCCTACAATTAATGATCCAGTATTTCCTCTGGTGTGAAGTTGGCTTTGATCCAACATATCCCTTCCCACTTCTTCTGCCACCCTCACCCCATTTACAACTTCCCATCTTGGCTGTTGGAGGACTCCTTTGGAAAAGCACTCCCTTCATCAAAACTATGGACCTAATCAGAACAGTCCTGTGTCCCTGGTGTCCCAAGTTTGACTTACCAGCTCCTCCTTGTCCTCCTAAGTGATTAAATTTGCTCTCATATCTAAGAGAATTTGTTACCCAAGCAGTCCAGCCTGTAGGCCAAGAAACCAAAAAAGCCCTGAGAGACCAGTGTAGGAAAGACACAGGATTTTTTTCATGCAAATTCAATTAAGTCAACTTTCACGGTTGTCCACAATCTCTATGATCAGTATTCACTTTGATTAAATTCTCCGGAGAAAAGAAATACAAAAGCCATCAGAAATGGAAGAGTCAGAATCTGGGAGAAAAGGCCAATCAACTGCTTTCCCCCACCCCCCTCCCTGTATAGATCTAAACAATCCCTGGTGCTCCCAAGGTTCTAAAAGGAGCAAAGTGAAAGAAAGGTCCTGGAGTGCTTGCCATGAGCATGTGTAAGAAGCTATATGGAGACCATGTCTAAGAGGCTATTTGGAGACCAAGCCTAGACTGCCACCATGGGCTAAGTACTTTACAGCTCCATACCTCAGTTTCTCATCTGCAAAATGGGATGATAATAGTGGAACTCACCTCACAGACTTGTGAAGATTAAATGAGTTAATGGATATAAAGCACTTAGAACAGTGACAAGCTACAAGTGAACAAGACGTAAGTGCTTGCCACTGTTAACAGAAGCAATAGTCATACGGTGACAGCCATGTGCTGAGCACTGTCTACCATTCTGTACCCAATGGTCTCTCAACCTCAACACTATTAACATTTTGGGCTGGATAAGTCTTTCTGTGAGTGGTTGTTATGTGCATTGTAGGATGTTTAGCAATATCCCTGGCCTCTCTCTACCCACTATATGCCAGTAATAGCCCCACCCCCCCAGCTCTCCAATACCAATTTGTGACAACCAAAACTATCTCCAAACATTGCTAAATGTCCCCTGATAGTGGGGTAGGGGCAAAATTGCCCTATTTCAGAACCACTGATCTAGTCCTATAGAAGCCACTGTCATGGGAGCACCCAGCTGGCCTCAGTCAGTGGAAACTGAGACTCTTGATCTCGGGGTCATGAGTTCAAGCCCCACGCTAGGCACACAGCTTACTTAAGAAAAAAAAAAAAAAAAGTCACTGCCATAGAGAAGCTATGCCACACACTGAGCAGGTCTGGTGTGGATCCAGGCCTAGAGGTCCCACGATGGGGCCCCTTGTGGTTTGATACAGGAGCTGCAGGTGGGGAAGTAAAGAGCAGTCAGTTCCCAATCTCTAGGTGGCTGCCATTTTCTCTCCTTGCAAATGGAACGGGAAACTGAGGCCTAGGCAGCATTCTATTTGGGCGGTACCTCACCCCTGAGAGACTGAGAGGGTGCAGAGAGAAACAAAGTCAACGAACTGACTTCTTTGGCAGCCTGTGTCTGTAGCCTTAATTAGAGGGAGCCCTGCTGAGCCCAGAGACAAGAAGGCCAGATAGGATTCAGAGATAAAGCCTTGGCCATGACAGAAAAAATGCCCTTAACCTAGTGAGGACTCTGGGCACAGGAGCCTCTGCAGCCCCTCTCTTCTCAGGAAACAAGTGGGCTCTGCACTTATGAAAAGAAACATACTGCTCCTTTCATAAAACAACCTCCTGACCATTTAGCACTATTAAAGCTTAATATGCACTTATTTTAACCCAAGAGTTTCTTCAAATGTATTCTATGGCTATATTAGCACAGCTGCACAGCATCTACACAGGGACCTCACTGCCCGGTTCAAATCCCAGATCTACCACCTAGGGATATGTGACTACGTGAAAGCAATTGATCTCTTTGTGATTTAATTCCATCATTTCTGAAGCAGGGGCAATAACAGGGCCTATATTATTGGACTATTACAAAGGTTATATGAGCTACTACATGCAAAGAACAATGTCATCAACAAATGGTAGTTATTATTGTGTTCATTGTATCCTTAACTGGTAATAGCTAAAAATTTGGAAATTTATGCCAGTCAGCTGGTTAAATGTATGTGGCACATCTAATCTATGAAATAGCTTCATTAAAAGAAAAGAAATGGGTGGCTCAGTTGGCTAAGCGTCCGACTTCAGCTCAGGTCATGATCTTGTAGTTTGTGGGTTTGAGCCCCGCATCAGGTTCTGTGCTGGCAGCTCAGAGCCTACAGCCTGTTTCAGATTCTGTGTCTCCCTCTCTCTGCCCTTCCCCCACTCATGTTCTGTCTCTCTCTGTCTCAAAAATAAATAAACTATTAAAAAATTTTTAATAAATGAAGTTGAACTATATCCACTTACATAATAGAATTCATTTAATAGTATCAAACTGTTAATGAATCAAACATGTTACAGATGAGTATATATAGTCTGGGATTATTTGCATATAAAAAGAGCTATACAGAAATACATACATGTCCTATTATCTGCATAGAAAATTTCTAGAAGCACCATCAAGAAGCTGATAGCAAGAGGGGCACCTGGGTGGCTTAGTCGGTTAAGCACCCGACTTTCGCTTAGGTCATGACCTCGCGGTTCGTGGGTTCGAGCCCCGTGTCGGGTTCTGTGCTGACTGCCAGCTCAGAGCCTGGAGCCTGTTTCAGTCTGTGACTCCCTCTCTCTCTGACCCACCCCTGCTCACTCTGTCTCTCTCTCTCCTAGAAATAAATAAAACATTAAAAAAAAAAAAAAAAAGAAGCTGATAGCAAGAGTTATATCTAGGGAGTGGGAATGGAGGACTAGAGAACTTTTGCTTTCTCCTTTGGTACTGTTAAAATTTCCAACTATGAGCATGTATTTTGTTTAAAATAATATTGTTTGTTTTTTTTTTAATTTTTTTTAATGTTTATTTATTTTGAAAGAGAGAGAGAATCCCAAGCAGATTCTACACTGGAAGCGGAGAGCCCAACCCGGTGCTGGATCTCACAAATGTGAGATCATAACCTGAGCTGAAAACAAAAGTTGGATACTTAACTGACTGAGCCACTCAGGCACCCCAAAAGTAATAATGTTTTTTAAAGAGAACAAGATAGGGGTGTCTGAGTATGTCAGTTGAGTGTCCAACTCTTGATTTCTGCTCAAGTCATGTCCCAGGGTCAGAGAATCAAGGCTTAAGATTCTCTCTTCTGCCCCTCTCTCCTATTTGCAGGGTCTCTCTCTCTTCATTCATTCATTCATTAATAGATAGATAGATAGATAGACAGATAGATAGATAGACTTATATCTACTGATGTGGAAATATTTTCAAGATATATCGCAATTTTTTTCAAAAGTTGAATATGAACAGCACAAGCCACAAGAATGAATCTCACCAACAAAATCAAGTATGCAGGAAACCAACCTTTAGTTTCTATAGCTCAGCTCAATGTTTATGGTAAGTTTCCACCATTCCAAGAGGAAACTTAATTCTAGGTGTGTCTGAGTTCTCCAGAACACTGAGAAGTGCCAGTCATGGGACAGAGGAGGAGACTGTGAGGCTGGCTGAGGCCAAATATAATAGCCTCTGCCGCTCTGTGCCACCCACGGGCAGCCAGGAATTTTGGACTTGGCCCCACCACGTGGGGCTCTTGGAGATCTTACAACTCTCTGAAATCTTATTCCTGCCTACCCAGGTGATCTGCTAGAAGGCAAGGTGGGACTCTGGACACCACAAGATCTTTCTCCCCTGTCTCTCCTGCCCCCAACCTCCAGCCAGTCTGGGGAGGAGAGGGCTACAATGAGTCAGGGGTCTTTCCTCCAGGTGAAATCCTTCTTCTATCTTGTCTCTTGTCAAGGTATTCAGTCTGTGCAAGAGAATCCTGTTTTTTCAATGAGCTATTCAGCAAACCTTAAAGTTTTCCTAAGTGCATACGCTTCTGGCATACAAAAGCCAGAGACACCTGAAACTTGATTCAATTTTCTAATCTGGGGAGCTAGCTGAGGAAGAAATGAGCTCCAAGAATATGAGAGTGGGAAAGAGGAAAATCCAAGGAGAGGAAAGAGATTAGTTTCTCAAATATGTCAGCCACACATATGTGTAAAGGCAGAGCAAAAAGTCTGAACATTCCCATCAAAGAATTAACAATGTCTACCAGTAGAGTAAGTTTTAAGATAGGGAAAGGGCTAGAAGGGAAGCTTGACCTTTTTATGTATGTCTAAACTGCTTTTATGTTTTAAAGATGAAGTTCTACTCAGTATTGCTTATATAATCTACTATTTTAAATATATAAATATGCATCTATCTTTTGCCTCCAGGCTGAAGTTGGAGGGTGATGCAGGTCACACCTATCTGGCCCACTGATGGGCAGAACCTTAGGGAGTGTATCTGCATGAAGAGCTGGAGACACTAATGTTAGGAAAGAACTCTTTCTAAGGGAAGAAGGTGATAGCACAATAAGCTGACCCAGGGCCAAAACTTTGCTCATTGGAAAAGAGGAAATAATTCTGAACTAAAGTAGTAGTGGTGATGTACACCTATCAGTGGAACCAAATCTCAAGGCTCTCTCTGTAAAGCAATGGGGGCATCAGCAGCCTCACAGCCCTGCTCCTACAGTGAAGCCAGCTGACTTCATGCCAACAGGAGTGTCAGTGGCTCCCAGCAGGCGTCGGGTGTCTGATGGGTGTGGCAATGTCCAGCAGAACTGATAGCTCCATGGGGTGTGGCAGGGGCAAAGGGAGGTTGCAGAGCTGGAGGAGGGGAAAGATAGTTGGGAGTGGGAGGGTGTAGCTCTCTGACCTTATCCACCAGCATATGGGAGACACACACCCTGAGGACGCCCAAAATGCTCTCAGGGTGAAGGTGTGGGGAAGTAGGCAAGACCTGGAACTCTACACTGGCAGGTAGGAGCAAGAGTCAGAGATACACGTGGATGAACTCTAATGATGTAATGAGTGCACAGGTGTCCAGGTGCGTGCACAGGTGGGGAGCACAAAAGAGGGAGCCACAATGTCTACATGGGAGGGGTCAGGGAAGGTCTCCTAAGTCAGCTGACGTTGGTAATTCAGAGTGGGTTGGTAATTCAGGGTGGAAGGCAAGAGGAACTGAGTGTGCAAAGGCCTGGAATATAAGGGAGTTAGCCAGAGTTTGGGGGAACTAACTGAAAGCAGTTCAGACTAAATACAAGGGAGTGGTCAATGAGGCCACAAAGATTATGTTCCTTGGTAA